GTGTGTCTAAAAATTAAAAAAAAATTTGCTTAAAATATTAAAAAAGTTCAATGAAAACAAAAAATAAAATAAAGAAAATAAAAAAAATAGAACTTTCTGAAAAATGAATTCTAAAAATAGAAACCAAACTGAGTAGTTTTAGAGTTTTCAATTATTTCAAAGTATTATCTGTCTTATGAACCTTGTTTATGTAAAAAGAAAATTCATAGATATAATTATTGTTGAGACATGTTTATAGCATAACAGCTTTTGTGGACTATTTTTCAGTTTGATTAATTTTTGAGTTTGGAATGCCTAATCAACAGTCTAGATTAAAAATTATAAACGGAGGGTCCAAATTAAAGTTATCAATAGATGTGTTAGTTACAAACTAAAAAGTACCAATTAGAATGTAAAGGCACCTATTGAAATGTTTGTATCTATTTGAACAGGCACCAAAGGTACCTATTTTAATGTTTGCACCCATTTGAACAGACACCTCTGTGTCTATAAAGGCAACAACTTTTACTCACTTCAAAAACTCTTCTTTCAGAATAGAACTGTTTAATCATCAATTTTGCTGGTTGTCGTTTTCATCCCAGGCTTGTTGTATCCTGGGAACGACTTTGCCAGCAACCCATCAGCAGACTCAATCAAGTGGGGGCAAATTACATTCTAAAGAAAATGTCTTTAGATACTACTCAAGCCAATCGATTTTATTTTCTCGTTCTTCTATATCAACAATTATTTATTAAATATGACTTTGATGATGATTTGATATAGAGATTCTGTACTTTTGGAGAACTTTAATATCCATTGGAAGTCACTTTAATTACTTTCTGTTTAGTCACTTCTGTGGCCCTTTGGTATGGAGTAAAGTGTCGTGCAAAGCTAAGTGCTACATTACTGTGGAACCACCTCTAAAATCCACACGAGTCATCTGTTAAATCCATACATCTGTTTAGTTGTAGATCTATAGCCCTTTGTTTTGATTGTCACTTAGATAATCATTTGTTATGTTCTGTTTGTACCGTAATTATGATTATATATCTCGTATGTTATAGTTATATATTCTGTATGTATCTAATTTTCGAAACGTATTTATTGTATAGTAAATGAACATGAGCAACTTATCTATTTTGATTAAAATATTTATCATCTAATTAGTTTTGACCTAAATACTTATTCATGCTGATTTTATAACCATTATATTCTTGGTGTAATACTCCTCACTCAACGATATACTTAAAAGTTGTTTATCAATTTTCAAAAATGATGATTAAAGAAGGAGATGTACAGTTCATTTCGGGAATGGGGCTATGGGATAGATGCACAATGCATTTTTGTAATATTTATAAATCTATTTATACAAGTTTAATTTCTTATTTTGTAAACCACGGCCTAACAACTTTTTGCTATAAATAAATAGATGTTCCAATATATATATATATATATATTAGTACCCTTATTTAAATAATTACTTGGACCATAATAGTTAAAAATTAGACAAACTATAAGAAACATATATTATTGCAATATTTCCCTCCTCTTCCTAAGCCATCTATTTATATAATTTGTTTTAATGAATTATATATTACATTATTCTTAAGAATTGTACAATGTTTTTAAGAATATAATATAATTATATTAAATTTTCAAATTTTAAAAATCATACGTTAAAAATATTGGTCTAATATTTACATTTTTAATGATAGACATGGCCAAGAAGTAATAAATATGTTGTAAAATAAGTGTCCGACATGTGTCTGAAATTTAGGCCAAGTTTGGCCTCTCTAAAAAAACTTAAAAAGTCAAAAAGTTATTAAAAAAAGTTAAAAATTATTACTATACACAAATTAAAAATATAAAAAAAACTAATTTATTACATATTTTAATAGAAAGACGTGACTGGTAGTGAGAAGGAGATGGAAAGGCGGTCAAACGAGGGGAAAAAATTAGGTATATATATTTATTAAATTGGAGGGTAATGTTGGGCGGACCATAATAGTTAAAAATTAGACAAACTATAAGAAACATATATTATTGCAATATTTCCCTCCTCTTCCTAAGCCATCTATTTATATAATTTGTTTTAATGAATTATATATTACATTATTCTTAAGAATTGTACAATGTTTTTAAGAATATAATATAATTATATTAAATTTTCAAATTTTAAAAATCATACGTTAAAAATATTGGTCTAATATTTACATTTTTAATGATAGACATGGCCAAGAAGTAATAAATATGTTGTAAAATAAGTGTCGGACATGTGTCTGAAATTTAGGCCAAGTTTGGCCTCTCTAAAAAAACCTAAAAAGTCAAAAAGTTATTAAAAAAGTTAAAAATTATTACTATACACAAATTAAAAATATAAAAAAAACTAATTTATTACATATTTTAATAGAAAGACGTGACTGGTACTGAGAAGGAGATGGAAAGGCTGTCAAACGAGGGAAAAAAATTAGGTATATATATTTATTAAATTGGAGGGTAATGTTGGGCCAATGGGAGCTCACCATGGGTCCCGTTTTGATAATCCGAACCGTTCAATGTGTCGAAATTGTCGAGTACTATATGCCTGTAAAAAATCACGTGAATCGGATATAAATAGTTATATGATTAAATCAGTTTTGTATAAACAATAGATGGTGTTATAGTTAACGGTTGAAAAAAAACTAACACGATCAGATAGCTATCGATATCCGATCAACGTGATTTTTTACAAGCATATATTACTCGGCGAGTTCTACATATTGAACGGTTCCAATTAGCAAAATGGGACCTATGGTGGGCCCACACAAGCCGAACAACACCGTCCAATTCAAACACAAAAAGGAGACAACCATTTTCCAACTCTTAACAGCCGACTACACTGCCGTAGGTACCACACGGCTACTCAATCACTTATACTATACACTTATTTATATAATTTTTAAATACACATTTTTTCATAAAAAAGTTAAAAAATTAATCCAAACATCTATCTTTTTTTCCTCAACTTTTTAATCCAAAAAGATAAAAAGTGTACTTATTTAAGACACCCCAAACAACCCCTTATATTTTTAATTTTAATTGAGGACACATAAAAAAGAGTATCAGACATGTGTCTGACACAGACACACCGCCTTCTTAAAAATGTCCATAGTTCTTAGTTTTTGAATGGCTCTCAAGTCTAAAAATAACCAACTTAAAATAATCCAAACCTTTTAGAAAAGGAAATAAGTTAATCTGTCTAAGAAATTTTTTTTTTAATTGTATAAAAAAAATAAATGACTAGCGTGTATGATTTGATTTTTTTACTTTTTGACTTATTTTTGGCTCTTTAAATTTTTTAACCAAAGGAAAATGTCATATGTTTGGTAATAACCTTTTCTAGTTATATGAAAAAAACATTAAGGACTTGCATGTATAACTTGTTCTTGTAGTAATTTTTTGACTTTAATTTTTTTATATTGCTTTTTGGCTTATAGTAAAGATAGAGATCTAAAAAAATTACCTTGAAACTTATCTTGAAAAAGTGATGAATGGATCAAATTTAGACTTTGTTTGTCAAAACTTAAAAAAGTCAAAAAGTCACTATCATATTTAAGTCATATCATCTTATTTAAGTCACATCACCTCTCTTCCCTATCACTTTAAACCCAACCAATATTTCATAAAAAATCAAAAAATATACTGCCAAACCGCCCCTTAATTTTTATATAATAAGACTCACACTTGAAATGAATCCCCATAACATATTGTGTTTTATAAATATTTTTCTAAATAAATTTTCTAGGTCCCTAACATGATTGTTTGATTTTTTCTTAGCCAAAAAATCAGAACCCATGTTCATATGAACAAAATCAATTTAATGATCAAAGCTTTTTTAGTACATCCCTTTCAATAGGAAGAGTTGCTCAATCTCACTCTATAGAATAATTAAAATTAAAAAAACAAAACAATAAATTATTGACTGATAACCATTTATTGTCTTAAAGGCATTGGTAAGCCGAGACTGCACCCAAAAAAAAAAACACTTAAAAAAAACTTTTGACCAAATTGAAGGATATAAAATTGCCACAAACTAAATTGACAAAAAAAAAAAAATGAGAGCTTATATTGCAATCTAATGATGCAGATCAAACACAACACAAGGTATAATATATACAACATTTCACAACATGATCTTATTCATGAACATTTCAAAACAACATAGTTCCCCGGTTATTCCCTGTTTGGATAACCAAAGCACCATAGCTTCCCATACGACGCTAGGAATCGATGTTTTACAACACAGCTATTTTGCATGTTACAGTCGTCTAAGCTGATCAGTTAGGGCAAGAAGGAAACGAAAAAAAGGCTAAAAAGCGCCAATAAACTGCCACAAGCGAAGGCACGTTTAGCTCTGCCAACCTGGGTAGTCAGGACTTGATAAATATTCTTACATCTTCTCCGATATAGGATACAAGGATACAAAACTTTCAGTTATAATTAACCGCCACTGCTACAAGCCAATGCAACGAAGGGATATAAGGATACAAAACTTTCAGTTATAATTAACCGCCACTGCTACAAGCCAATGCAACGAAGGGCATTCCTTAAGTTCTTTCAATGTTACTGTACAGTACAGGTTTCTGCAAAATATGTGGCAGTTAACTTGAGAGATTATGGCAGAACGAGATTTAAAACAAAATATGAAAGAATTACAAATAAATGGGAAGACCAAAAAATAATTACAAAACAGTGAGAAAATTTGTGAAATTACCATTGTACCCTCCCTTTCTCTCTCCCATCTTCCCATTCCTCTCAGGGAAGATGGGAGATAGAAAAGGAGAGCATTCTAGTAATTTCACAATTTTGTTCTAATTATTGTACAACTTTCCATGTGTCTACTGTAATTGTTTTTTATTCTCCACTGTTTTGTAATTATTTTTGGGTCTTGCCATTTATTTGTAATTCTGCCTAAAAAATACAGGTACGTATACCCACCATCTGGATGAGGAGAGATTGTCCATTTGTTACAGGAGGATTTACGAGCAAGGTGTAGGCTCATCACTGTGTAATAGTATCCATTGATGAAGCACGTGTCAGCATTTCTGCTCCGTCAATTGTATACTTGGAAGAGTATTCCACTCCAGAATCACCTACAAAGGTATATTAAAAATCAGGAAAATCCATGACCATATGTTTATCGGAAAAAAAAAGAAGAAGAAGAAAAGCATATAAAAAATGTGAGCATAATCAAAATCCATTACTGAGGATCGAATCAGTAGATGAACGCGGTGGTGACGTGTTCCTCTTTTTACCTGCAATAAAACAATCATTTTAGATCAGATATCATCTTGTATCTACACTTGTATGATACAACAATTGTATCTCCGTGATCACTAATACAAAAGTCAACAGTACCACACCCAAAAGATTTTTGAACTGACTATCCAAACTTAGCCCCTATAGACAGAAGCTAAGCTATGAGTTATCAGATAAAGATTCTCCGCAATGGATCTCTATGCAATGGTCTTGTTGTGTTATTCAACAGCCTATGTTTAAAGTTACGGAAAAACTATATTGTTTTAGGGGGTGTAGTTTTAATGTTATTTATTTCAGTTTTAACTTAAACCATTGAATTATGTTAGTTTGCTTGTGTCTTTCTGTGATAAAAAAGCATAGCAAAGATAATTAAAGGAAAACCATGGAGAAACCGGACTCATCTGCAATGTACAAGAATGCTCGGTAGAGATATTATCATCTTAATATTGTTTGGAAGATAAAGATAGCATTCAGCACAAACAAAACTGAAACAGGACAACAAGAAAATAGGACAAATAAATCATATTTAAGAAGAGGTCACATACCAGCAGAATGACGGGTCACTTTGACAGCCTCAAAATTCTTGTATGTGTAGCCAACAAAACTTAAATCTTTGGGAGTCAGCAACATCTGCCCGTAAGTTAAAAAGAACTAAATAAGATGCCTTGCTGAATCTTTCAAAAAGAAAAATGGCATAAGAATGAAGTATAAATAAACATAATTGATGCAGGTGTTTGGAAGCTGAGAAAAAAGCAAATTAAAGTAGCAACAAAATTTAAAAATTGGTGGTTTCCAAGCAGCAAACCACTAAGGCCCTTGCATAATTAAGTCTTGAGTCTTGATTTATGTAAATGTTTTAGGTCGCCATGCTGTTGATCAGTTAAAGAAGTATATATATATATTTTTTAAGTTTGTTAAAAGTCTGTAGTATTTAAATAATCCTTGGAATTTCGGACAGAGATTATAGTTGTTGGGCATGGGGTATAACAAAAGTCATGTGATGTGATTGGGTAATGATTTTAATAGGATTAAATAGATTTAGGAGTGATTCCTAGATTATCCTCCTAATTTCATTAAAATTCTAGCAATAAATACGAACATTAAGGTTTCCATTTCCTTTATACAGAAAAATTACACACCTTTCTCAAGGGTCCAGAACCCATTCTTGCTGCTCCAGCTGGAGGATCCACCTGGGGCATAATTTGAATATATTTCAGAAATAGTAATCAGGGAAGGAAGTATACTGAAAATCAGCAAAACAATTTGTATACATTATACATTCATGGATCCATAAAGAGAAGAAAGAAAGCATTCACAGATCACAAACATGGATATACACAAAAGGCAATAAGGAGAACTGATGCAGACCGAATTTAAAGAATTATATATTTTATTCTTATTATTTTAGAATTAATATTTGATTAGGAAAATTCACATTTTTATTTTTATTTTAACTAGCTGTATTATTTAAGGCTATAATTTTTAGTTTCCCATTTATTTAGGTTTCCTATTTCGTTTATTTTCTACTTTTACAAGAATTAGGTGTGAGAATATATTAGGGATGTTATGTATATATGGTAGTATATAAGTCGTATTTCCTTTTTCGTTCTAGGTTTAGATTGTTATATAAACCAATGTATCTTTGTATTACGTGAACAATTGAATAGACAAAAATCTTACATGGTATCAGAGCCGTCTTTGAAACCCTAAAACAACAGTCACGACATACTCTAGTTCAGAATTACCATATGGGTGTTTGGTGGTTCAATTGAGGTTGTTCTCTGGGTCGTCGGAGTTGCCCATCCCATAATCCATCTCTGGTTTGTCAAAGATTGGATCAATCTATCCATCGTGATTCATCTGTTCGTCAATGTTGCCCTTGCTCCCCTCATCTGTTCGTGGTGACCCGTCTGGGTTCAGGTTGAAACCCATCATCGCAACCCATTTGAGTCGAAGAGGACTCTGGTCGTCTGTCTCTGCCTCTCTCGCGCTTCGCGTGAAGGTCTAGTCTGCCCTCTCTCCTTGCGAAGGACAGTTCCCTGGTTCTCATCTGTTTCTGGGTCAATTCGTCTCTCTCTGTGGTTCGTTGCTGGTTTGCTGGTTGCTTCAAAGTGGGTTCAGGTCTTCTCGTTCTCTGCTTGTGATTGGTGATAGATCTCTGCTATCACATTTTGATCTATATAGTGCTAGTTTTGGGTTATTTCAATTTGACTCATCAGTTTTCTATTTATTATACTTCACCCAATTGGTTCTCTATTTTTGGTTCATTATGATATCGAATACCCACCAGCTTCAATCTCCTGCACAGCCCAAGACGAGGCTACTGGCATCAGATGAGTGTGCTTTTTGCCATCAGCGAGGTCATTGGAAGTATCATTGTCCCAAGAAGGGACATTTGTCTGCCTCGTCTTTTCAGCAGTCTTAGACTCAGTTCCATGCTCTTTTTCAGAGTACTTTTCAGGCTCCAGCCACTTCTACTGCATCTGCTTTGGTTCCTGATCTTGATTTGGCTTCCATGAGTGCTCCGATTACTCAACTTTAGCATATATTGTCTACCTTCCAACCCTCCCCGCCTGCCTCAGTTGTTTCCTCTTCATTCAGGTTTGTTTAGGTCTCCTTTAGGTATCTCTTTGTCTGTCTGGATTTTTGACTCTGGTGCCTCTCATCATATGACTCATCATCTCTCTTTCCTTCACAATTGTACTCCCCCTCCCTTTTTTTTTTACTATTAATGCTGCTAATGGATCTGGTATGTCTGTTATATCTGTTAGGTCTGTCTTACCGTCTGCTATGTCTACTTTCTCTATTCCATATGTCTTTTATGTTCCTCAGTTATCTATCAGTTTATTATCTATCAGTCAGCTTGATATCTCTGGTTTTAATGTTATCTTTTCTTCTTCTCTCTGTTCTGTGCAGGATCGGATGTCCAAACAGCAGATTGGGACTGGCCGTAGAGTTGGAGATCTCTATGTGGGGGAGAGCTTGCATCTACCTATGACAACTTCTCCAACTACTTTTTTCTCTTTTCAGTTAGATACTCTGTCCAATCCTTTCTACTTGTGGCATTCTAGATTAGGGCACTTGTCTACTGACCGTTTACGGTCTTTAGCTCAGTTAGGTATATTGCGTAAAGTTTCTCCTAGTGAACTTACTGAATGTCGGGGGTGTAAATTTGCCAAAATGACAGCTTTACCGTTTCGTAAAAGTACTTCTATATCTAATACACCATTTTCTTTAGTTCATACTGATGTTTGGGGCCCTTCTCCTATTCTCACCAAAGGCGGTTCTGCATACTGTGTCATTCGTTGATGACTGCACCCGTTACACTTGGATTTATCTTCTGACTTGTAAGTCCAATTTCTATTAAATATATTATACATTTCAGTCTATGATTACTACTCAGTTTGGGTCTACAATTAAAGTATTACGGTCTGACTTAGGTGGGGAATATTTTAAAAATGAGTTCTATAAATATTTGGCCAATTTGGGTATCATTCACCAAACTTCCTGTACAGATACACTTGCCCAAAATGGTCGAGTCAAGCGTAAACACCATCATCTCCTTGAGACAGCTAGGTCTCTTCTTCTCTCTACCCCAGTTCCAGCTCCATTTTGGGGAGAGGCAGTTCTTACTGGTGCTTTTCTTTTCCACAGCATGCCTACTCCCCTTCTTTCTGGTCGGTCTCCTTATGAGGCTTTATTTTCCCAAATTCCTAACTACTCCCTCCTTTGTGTGTTTGGGTCTACTTTGTTTTTCTTTCCCGCAAAGATAGGACCAAACTTAGTGTCCGGTCTGTCCTTTGTGTCATTTTGGGTTATAGTCCTCCTCAAAAAAGCTATCGGTGTTACGACCCTGTTTCTCATCGTCTTTATGTCTCCTGTCATGTTTCTTTTCTCGAACATCTGCCTTACTTTCAGCTTTCTCCTATCACTGCTACGGTTTCCAAAGAGGATTTGGTTCACATTGATCTATTTCCTTCTAAGGTTTCTCCTGATGAGTACATCTCTACCGTTCCCCATGACCTTGTTCCCTCTTCTCCACCTTCCACCCCACTTGTTGAGTGCATTTCCACTGATCCCCCTTGAGGCTATTCCTCCTTCTCCTCCTGCTTCACTTCTGGTTTCCTCTCCTCCTTCGGCTTCTTCTCCGCCTCCTTTATTAGTCTATTCTCATCGCCAGGCTCCCCATCCACCAGTTGTCTCTGCCCTGTCTGCTCCTTCTTCTGCTTCTGAAGACTCTGATCCTGCTAACCACCGATATCCTACTCAATTACATCGTCCTCCAAACAGGTTGGGTTGGTCTAATACATGTTTTTCTATTTCTTATCGTACTTTTTTGTCTGCTATTCATTCCTTTTCAGAATCTCAGTCTTACAAGGAGGCCTGTCAGGATCCCAATTAGGTTCGAGTAATGGAGGATGAATTGTCTACTTTATAGAAAACTAGTACTTGAGAGTTGGTTCCTTTGCCTATTGCTAGGAATCTGGTTGGTTGCAAATGGGCCTACAAAGTCAAGACTCATTCTGATGGTTCTCTTGAGTGCTACAAGGCTCGTCTGGTTGCCAAGGGTTTTTCACGAGAATATGGTATTGATTATGAGGAGACCTTTGCCCCTATTGCTAAAATGACTACTGTCCGTACTTTGATATCTGTCGCAACTGTCGCCATTGGCCTCTTTATCAAATGGATGTTAAGAATGTTTTTTTTTATGGTCATCTCGCTGAGGAGGTTTAAATGCGTCCTCCCCCTGGTCTACACCATTCCTCTAGACAGGCTTGCCGTCTTCGGCGTGCTCTGTATGGTTTGAAGCAATCTCCTCGTGCTTGGTATGATTCCTTTCAGACTACTGTTATTAAGCTTAGGTTTCATCCTTCTGCTTCCGACTCTGCTTTGTTTCTGAGATGTACCTCGGTTGGTTTTGTTGCTCTCTTACTCTATGTGGATGATATGATCATCACTGGCTTTGACTCTTCTGCTATCTCTGAGGTCAAACAACATCTCTTCCGCAACTTCGAAATGAAAGATCTGGGTCCATTGCAGTATTTTCTTGGTATTGTGGTTGTTTCTTCTCTAAAGGGCTATTTTCTATCTCAGGCTAAGTATGCTAATGAGGTCATTCACAGTGCTGGTCTTACTGATACTAAGGTTTCTGATACGCCTATTGAGCTTAATGTGAAGCTCATCTCTACTGATGGTGTCCCTCTGGCTGATCCCACTTTTATATCGCGCGCTTGTAGGTTGTTTAGTTTATCTGACGGTTACTCATCCCGATCTTGCCTATGTTGTTCATGTGATTAGCTAGTTTGTTTCTGCTCCTCGCTACACACAAGCTGCATTGATTCAGATTCTTCGCTGTCTTCGAATTACTGTATTTCAGGGTTTACTATTGTCCTCTACTTCCTCTCTGGATTTACTAGCCTATGCTGATTCTGATTGGGCTGATGATGTTACTGATCGCAAGTCCACGTCTGGTTTCTGTATGTTTCTTGGTGATTCCTTGATCTCTTGAAAAAGCAAAAAAACAAACTGTTGCTGCTCGCTCTACTGCTGAAGTTGAGTACCGTGCTATGGCTCATGCTACTACTAAGATTGTTTGGCTTCGTTGTCTTCTATCTGATTTGGGTGTCCCTCAGTCTTCTCCGACCTCTCTCTATTGCGACAACCGCAGTGCTATTCAGATTGCCCATAACACTGTCTTCCATGAGCGGACAAAGCATATTGAGATTGATTGTCACTTTGTTCGTCAGCATCTACAGTCTGGCTCTATTCACTTCCTTTCGTCTCTTCAGCTCTGCAACTTGCTGACTTCTTCACCAAGACTCACACCACTGCTTGGTTTCAGTTTCTTCTTGGCAAACTCTCAATATTTTCTACTAAAACACTTTGAGTTTGAGCGGGGGTGTGAGAATATATTAGGGGTGTTAAGTATATATGGTAGTATATAAGTCGTATTTCCTTTTTCGTTCTAGGGCTAGATTGTTATATAAACCAATGTATCTTTGTATTACGTGAACTTATTGAATAGACAGAAATCTTACATTAGGATCGTTTACTTTACAAGAATTATTTTGATTAGGAAAATTCACATTTTTATTTTATTTTAACTAGGAGTATTATTTAAGGCTATAATTTTTAGTTTCCCACTTATTTAGGTTTCCTATTCCGTTTATTTTCTTCTTTTACAAGAATTAGGATCACTTACTTTACAAGAATTATTTTATTTCTTAATAAGAATTATTTTATTTCTTAATAATTTATTTTCCCTTTTTGTCGTAGTTGTTTTAGGAATTCTCTTCTATTACAAATATGGGTGGTAAGCTTTAGGGCTGTTCAGTTTTTAAAAATAATTTTCAGTTTTGCTGAGATAATTCTCTTCTTTTCCTATAATTATAGTTTTTATTCGGATTCGATAGATTATATAAGAGTTGCCGGTTTCTTTGCTGCGTGATTCTACTGTTGTTCATGCACTGTGTCAAGAACTATTACCCCTTATTTACAAAACTACTTAATTTACTGTGCACATAGGCAAATGATTATCAGTTTTCAACCAACATGCACCTCTTGTACCAGGAACAAGTTCTTAAAAGGGTTGAATTTGTTTCCATTTTGTCAAAAATCTTGAAAGGCTTCTTTGTGTATGTCTGTTTTGTGGTGGCAAAAATCTTGAAAACCTGTTACCTTTATATAAGGGCAAACCGTGGACCACAGGCACATATGCAAGTGCAACATGACACGAACTGATAAAATACTAAAATATCAGGCAAGAACATGAAAATACAAAATTATTATTGAAGAAATTTAATGTATAAAGAGAAATAGAGAATTGTATTATTGATTGATAAGTGGGTGAAGTAGGTGGAGAGTAGGTGGATTTTAACAATTATTATTTGCAAATAGAAGTTATTACTCTCAACAAATATTTCTTTTATAAAAAAAACAACAGATCTAATACTATAAAATTGTAGCATGAAAAATTTATGAACCATGATTGTCAATGATCATGCATGTAAATGATCACAAATGTTCTTAATTATTTTCCTATATCTTCCTTTCTTTTTTGACTAATGCAAGATTTGAACTTAGTCCCCCTTTTGCGGTGATGACGTTTTTACAATCTAAAAGCAAATGAAGAAGTATAGTATATGCAATTAACAAAACTTACCCAGTCACTTGGGGTTGGGTACACGGATCATGTTATTGGTTAAGCAAATGCAATTGTGTCTCTCTCACCACCTCAACTATATCTTCTTTGCTATTGACTTGTTTTGTTTTATTTTTTGTTCATTTTTAGTACCTTTTGTACCTAGATGATGTAATTATTTAATCGATGATGGACTTGGCCACACCACCTCAATCAACTTTCTCTCACTTTATCTTCAAGAAGTGGAATTACTAACTTGCTTCAATGCAGTCATTCCTCAAAACTATATTTTCTTGTCATAACACTTGCCAATCTCCACATTATCATTTTAGTGATACTTATTTGTTGAAGTTTTTTATTGTCCAACATTTTTTTTACCATACAATATAACTTTGGCAGAGCGGTATAGAGAAAAGGATTCATATAGACGAGTCCACCTGATTGGGACACAAGTGTAGTTTGGTTTGATTAGGTTACAAAATAGTTGATTTATAGTTGTTCTTTCCTCTCAATTTATCAAGAATTCTATGATCACACAACACTCCAGATGCACTTTTCATTTCATCTACGTCTGAGTAACATCCTCCTCAATCTCCACTTTACCCAATATATCAAAAATGGTTAGTCTTAGGTCTCTCCTCTCCCTCAAGTTTCACTTTATTCTCATTCATATTGCCAGTTTTACTAAACTTGTACTCTATGTAATTTTAGTTCTACGTAACCTGAACCTTCAAATCCAAAAGTATCTACATAGAGTTCTAAGTTAGAGTTCACCCATAGTCTAATTTCATCATTTAAAACTATGTCATAGCAATCAACATATACCACAAAACATTCCCTAGAATGTGAAAATAATTTAATCGATAACATGCAAAAAAAATGAGGACTTAATAACAATGCTTGGGGGAAACCTTATTGAGAATTCATTTAGCCCACCACCTCCAGTCTTTTCACTATATATAACTACTTTTCTTTCTTTGATATAGAAAAGGCTTTTAATGCATATAACAAAAACCTGTATTGTGATTTTTCTCCTTTACAATCACGCTCTCTCTGCACCCCCTTTTATTTTGTTTTTGGTGACAAATCATATTATTACCTTCTCTTTTTGGATAAATAACTGAACTTTATTATTAAAAAAACGTCAAGATGATGCAAAGAACACAAAAAAAAAGGCAACCTACAAATGGACAAAACTAAGAAACCAAATCCTCCACAAAATCCACAAAGGCCAAAACATCTAGATCGACAAACTTGTTACCCAACTATATAACACCAAAAGAAGCCGCCTCTCCAACCAAGAAACCGAATGAGACACGCCCTAAAAAACGCGCCTATTACGCTCCAACCAAATCAGCCACATCAACCAATGGGATGCAAGCATCCATGCCTTTTTTGGCCTCCGCCCAACCCGACCCCCACCCCAACTCTGTAAGTCTTCCATCACAAAACCCAGTTGCACCCAAACCAAACCAAAAGTCGCAACAACTAACATCCAAAACTGAGAAGCACCTAGACAATGAATAAGAAAGTGATCCCCCGACTCCACATCAGCACAACACAAACAACCTCAATTGACTAAAACATGCCAACGACTAATCAAGTTATCATATCATTATCTTTCAATAGCAAATGAAAGTCATATTCCAAGTGCATAGGTATGTCTCGGTTAGGAGTGTGATGTCAACCAAGATTTGGGAATGATGAAATTTCTTTGCAAATGGTGGATTAATCCTAGATAAGTTGGAAACATTACACGTCCAAGTCTTCTGAGAAATGCCATTCTCTCAAAGGAAAACAACTCGTCTATAGAAGTGTGCATGCTACATACTAAAAACATCCCCCACTCAAAACAATCAGAGAAACCATGCAACCTCTAAAAGCAAGAAGCCTTGCATAATAAAATTACATTTTCCGAATCCATTGAAAGATTTGTCAAAAGATACATCTTGCCTTCATGTATTACTAAGCACTCTTCACATTCAAGATTTTTCCTTGCATCTATACTTAAATGATCTAAAGGGCTCAGAAAAGCCATAATATCAAGTAAAATAGAAGGAATACACTAATTACATGAATAAAAGATGCGGGGAAAAAAGAAAACTAATGGTTTGGTACTAAAGGATTAATGAAGAAATCAGTACTCATGGCACCTTACCTCATCAAATTTCATGAAATTCTGAGTATCAAGTTCCCCAGTGACCTCTGGCTTAAATGCTGCCTCAATTTCATAGAGATTGTCCCATACAACATCTTTGAACCAGGGATGAACCTGATACAATTCAATGAAAGTTGAGCATGAGAAACTAAAAATTAAAGGGCAAATTACAACGATAGTTCCTATACTTTATCTCTTGTGTCATTTTAGTCCCTATACTTTCAATTGGCTCGATTTTGACTCTGAATTTATGATTTTGTATCAATTTGGTCCAATTGATTACAACTCTTAGCATTTTTTATGAAAAATACGCACATAAGTGTCACGACTCACGTGCCATAATTTTAAGGGTAAAATTATAAACTTACTCAACTCAAATAGTTAACCCCAACCAATTTAGTGATAATTTTTCGTAAAACACACTAACAATATTATTAATTGGATCAAATTGAAACAAAATCTAAAATTAAAGATCAAAATTGATCCAATTGAAAGTGTAGGGACCAAAATGACACAAGAGGTAAAATATAGGGACCACCGGTGTAATTTTCCCAAAATTAAAAGAGAAGAAGAGCGCACTGTAGTTGACAAAGAAAACATACTTTTATTTGGTGTGCCTCTCGAGTACCTAGCCTTTGTTCAACATCACAAAGCAACCTACAGATCAGATCCTTTGCTTCAGGAGTCAACCTTGCTTCCTCAGGAAACTTTAAGTGATTTCTCCAATGTACAATCTGAAAGTATTAATCAACACATGAAGGAACATGTAATACATACATCTGTTTAAAAATTTTAAAGCATTACATTCTGTTACAAGGTAGAAGCAAACAGCAACTAGTAGGATTGTCCTACGGAAATAGATAGATAACAGAAATGAAAACAAAAAATATACAAGAAACATACAACTACTAGTAAAAGTGTTCAATGGAAATAGATGGGTAACGGAAATGAAAACCTAAAAATATATAAGAAACAGTGCTCTAATGTAAATCTAATAAAAGAAACATGACTAATATGAGAGACCAAGAAGCAGTTATATGCTACCTTGTTAGTGCTAATTATATCTTGCTTATGGCACTTTAATTTTTCTGTTTCAACAGGAGTTCCAATGAAAATATTGTGAGAGAGTGATAGAAAATGAGGCACCACACATGCATGCTTACAGATAAAATGTTCAATCCAATCTGACGACAAACTGCTCAAACAATTGGAGAATGATGTTCTGAATCATAGTGAAACCAGTGCTTTAATAAACCAGTCTGCAAAATAAAAAAAGAAACTCAGAAAATACACGATCCTCACCTACCTAAGTAATAAATTCTTCCCTTTCTTTATCTTTCACTCTGCTAGGCTACAAAGGGTTTGGGCCCATGACATATAGGTTACCAATGGGTCTACTAGATGAGTGGTCCTAGGCAACGAATTGTTCAATTGAGGAAGAAGGAACTTTAGCTTATTAGTTATCCCCTTGGAACTGCTAAGTTTCATTGTTGTTATCCTTGACAATTTGTTTGCTTATTATTTTTGTTTGAAACCTCAAGAAAATTTTATATTGGTTTTACGTTCTTTGATAAGTACCCAAAGAGAATTCACCATTCCAAAATCATCCATAATACTTAGCTTTTCCTCAACCTTTCTTTGTCTACAAAAAAATTAGTTACGAAAAGAAAATAACAGTATACAATAACATGGAAGGCTAAGAAAGAAACCAGATTGAGGTAAATAGTATAACAGATTGGGTATTGGGTGGGTGGTTGGGACAACTCAACTATTGAATAATAGCTTAAAAAGTTTCATGCCAGATAGATTATACAACATAAAGGCTGTTTGAAACATTTAAATAATAGGCAAGCTCATACTTTGTTGGTTGAGTTGGAATCCTTACAAATCCAACCTGTTTATCATAATATTCCCACATACTCTGTTACTGAATGGCTGATTTTAATTTAAGGTCGACAGCAAGTCTGGTTCTGATTTGCCAGTTGTATTAGAGGCATATAACGTTTCAATGGACATGCTAGATGTCTAATGAAGAATCTGCTAAATATTAAGACAATTTGTATTTGTTTCCTATTCAGCTTTTCTTTTATTCTCTACATGGTGTGTTCCTGTGTGTGAGTGTCTCATAGAGAAAGAGAGTGCGACTACAACAAACTTCTCTCCATTATTTTGGTTCTTCACTTTCTCTCAATCCATGATTGCAAAGAGATTATCTTCTTACAGAACTACTAGAAAAGCCTTCCAGTTAAAAGGATAAAGCATAACAACATTAAATGACACAGAAAATATCTAACATAGGTCAGAATTCTTGAATTACAGCCACTGCTAAGCCAGCTTAATCTGGCTAGAAAAGGTAATTTTGTTCAAGTTATTGGTGCACAATTTTGTATGCTGATTGTTAGTATTGACCAAGCTAGGCTCTTCTGCCAGTAGCAGGAGCAAACATAAAGAGAACAACTAAAATACAAAAAGATGTCTCTGTGTCTTTTGTTATTTTGCATCATCTTAACTATTCATACAAAGAGACACAAGTGCTGCTAAACTTGAAACAAATAGCTTCAGCTAGAAATTTCTAACATCCGAGAAATGCCAATCTATAAATCTCTTAAGATTCCTGATAAGGTGCTTTGGGCATCATTACCAAATCAAGATGACCATAAAGGAAGATCGTCAACTTAATGGTGAACACACATTTATTACATTCTGGATAGATTTTTCCTTTGAAAAACCAAAAAACCAAATATTAAGACTTCCAAAGGATACCAGTTTACATGTAATTCTCATCTCACTTTAATGGCGGAACAAGTTCAGCTCATCATGAAAAAAACAAAGTACATAGTTTGTTCACCTTTCTACATGTTGTTATAGGATCATCGGAGTAGAATGGGGGATAACCAACAAGCATCTCATACATTATAGCACCAAGTGACCACCTGCAAGCAGGTTACTAGTAAGAGTACATAATAATTGTATGAAAAATAGAAAATTTCTCAAGTCTTCCACCATATTGATGCGTTGCCAAAAGGTAAGTCACCTTGTCACACTGTAATGCAAGTATCCAATAATAGAACAGAACTAGATTGTAAAGGTATACAGTTAAAGCAGCCATAAATAACATAGAAATCCTCATGTAACTGTTAATAACTACACAAAGGTGACAGACAACATGGTTGTGGTGAATACAAAACTAATGTATCTGTATTTTTAGGTGAAGTTCAAATTCAACCCATCATTCAAGATTGTTTGATTCCATAGCACAGAAACAGTGAATAAAAAATTGACTTGCTCTCTAACTGTAATAGCAAATATGATCACTTGTCATACAGATAGAGAGAATATTTCATTCATAGGGTATAGACAGCATGTCAAGTTGTCAACAGAGACCCAAAGAACCACAGATATGTATCCATCTATTTGCAAGCAATCTACTACACAATCAACAACTGGAGAGTCCATCTCGTACGTCTAGTTTTGTCAATCAACAATTTGAGAGCCCAAATGTTGAGTGGTTCAGAAAAAACAAAAAAACAAAAAGCAAACAAAAAAAAATATATGTTTAGAAAAGGGGTGTAGTTGGAATAAAAATATTGAGATTAATCAGTAGAGTAACAAGAAAAAATAAAAATAAGAAAAGAATCCATCAGGAAAAAGTTAGACATGCTATCAATTGAAGATGTTTGTATGAAGGAAGGTGAGGTGGCCGGAAATGGTCTTTTGGGAAGATTGTAGGCAGTAAGATGTCGCAAGACCACCAGAGATGGAGAGGGAGAGAGCTGAGGCAGCCATAAACTTAGAGAGAGAGAGAGAGAGAGAGAGAGAGAGTAGAGCCCCTGAGATGGAGAGGATTCTCCTTTTATAGAAGAGTTGGGGCATGGAGGCCAACTTATCCTTGACTTGGTCAAAAGGCATCTATCATGTTCAAGATTGATCAAAGTAGGGTCACCCCAAGAGGGTGAACCGAGCAACTTTGATGATCCCTCAACTCTAGCCACCAATCCACAAGTTCCTAGTGATCCTGAGTGCGGTGATGCGTGGCTTGAACGTCCCATGACCGAGGTTTGGATGACACCAAGTATATGCAGGGTACACACAATGACCTTGAAATCACAAGACAAGGCTATTTGCAATAGTCAATAGAAGGCCGGAATAGAGAAAATATGAGAACTCCAAGAATTAAGAGATCTTATGAAAATATCTTTAAGCATCGGATCTCCTTGTCTTTTGTAAATCCATATAAAGGTCCCTTTCCTAACATATCAACCAAAAATCATGAAGCTGTTGTCTCAACAATATTCATTTCTGCCCAACACCATAAATCACTGTTTCCAACATGTTCATCACTCCTAGTGAGATCATCTGAGGCATAACAAGAAAGCGTAGCAGAGAAGACCCGCACCACATCTTTCCATGAATTGTATGATAAAGAAAGATATATAATTCACCAGTTTTTATCTATTTTTTAGTTTTTATTTTTACTTCAGCCCTACATGTACAATACACATCAAGGATCACCCACCCTCAACTAATTCATAGGCTATTGCTTAACACATATCTATGGCTGATTTAGAAGAAAAAGCCACATCATAGCCTCAATGCACCACTAAGATAAGAAGCACATACACGGATACAGACACGAACACCAACATGGGACAGGGCGATTTCCAAAAAAATCAGGATATAGACACGGTGTAGATACTGCAAAAGAAAATTAAATTATATATTTTTATTTGATGTGTATATAAATATTACATCCACAAACATCTAAAAAATAATTAAAAAATAACACTAATTCAACATGTAAAACAACTCAATCTATAAAAACCTTATTCAATATAAAATATTATTTTATTAATATAAACCATTACATCTTAGTTATTTGCCTTCATCAATAGGATATGCTACTAGCACAAGTAGAAGACGACCAGTTCTCCTAGAACCATTAGAAGTATTTAAAAAAAATTAGCAATTTCAATAATCAAACACTAGTTCAAAATGACAATGCAACAACTTCAACAATCAAACCACTAGTTCAGAAATTAAGGGACAGATTTTTACTTATTAGTTATTTGTATTGTTCAAAGAATATGGGAGAGAATACTACATTGTGATGATTGACACAGATAACATCTCCAATCTATAAAAAAAAAAAAAAAACACAGATAACATGTTTACATAGTGATTATGAATTTATAAGGACTCTTCTTACAACTCCTAGCAAGATAACTGTGTCTTGGGGCGTGTCCAGAAACAAGACACATGTTCGTGACATGTCCCCAATGTGTTCGGCTGGAGAAAATATAATTAGAAAATGGGACACACAATGTGGCATGTCCGATGTGAACCCCAGCGTGTCCGAAGCTTGTTCATGTCCACAAAGTGTCAGACACAACACAACACAACTCTGACAACTAAAAAGAAGTGTCCACACTTCATAGCAACTAAAACTCCACAAGGATCACTTGATAGGAGGATAATATAAAGATATCTTTTGGCTCTCTTTACTCCACTCACAACAATTGGGGTTATGTTTCTCTAAAAATTGTCGTTTAGGTTTTTCTTGCTACAAGGCTCCATGATTAATGCTTATACCAAGATTAATTATCCACATTCTCCCGTTTTAACCTTTTTAAGCTTCTTCTTGTGTAGAGTCTACACGTGACGAAAACTGTAAGAAAACTGATGTATTATTGATTGATTTAATGTTATATTGTCTATTACAGGGTCATGTCGGACCGTTGTAGAAAACAGTTTATGGGAACCAAATCCATAATTTTTTATTTTTGGAAAAGGTACAAAAATTCATAATATTATATCCTCAATTGTGAGAGTTTGATCCTTGTTTGAAGCCTAGTCTCTTGGGATGTTAGAGACTGTTTTGTTAGACTACAATTCTTAGTTTGCCGCATTTTAAGGGGTGTTTTGAGCTTTGTTGCATATCTCTTCTTTTGGTAATAAAACAAAGGGTTAATTTCACTTTTACCCCCTAAAGTATCATGACTTTGTCTACTTCAACCCTAAACTTTTAATTTTATCTACTTGCTCCCTAAACTTTTGGATTTCAGTCTAAGTTGTCCAATTGTTCACAGCTGTTTGGAACAAGCAACAGCAAACACTCCACGTGCAGGAGAGTAATAGAGGTGCTGAGGAAAGAACAAGGACCATCTTCAGGCCAGCAACATCAGCCATTAGGTCAACACCTATCAGACCGCCATCATCTTCAGCACCATTCAACATGACAAGGGAAATGCATATTAGTTCTCCTCCACCATTCAGCACTCCAAGGCCAGGGGCCATTAGGCCACCTGTGCCATGCAACACTCCAAGAATTTGAAGACTTGTTGTAATCAAGTTATAGGAATGGCTTTTTTGTTTAATGAAGTGATCATTTTTGTTTAACTCTGCCGGGGTTGTTTAACAACTCCGTCGGTCCCAAACCCGGGTAAAGGAGGAGGGTTTTGTATTAGGTAGCCGACATCCAACATGTAAAAAAAAGCCGCTTAGATCCTTTACGACATGAAACCTAATACCTCGAATCGATTAAATGCTAGGTCGTTAACGCGTTGCGCCTGCCTCCGGGTGTTTCGAAAAGTGAGTAAAAGGCGCCGCATCGACGCCTGAGTGCGATGAAAAATGGGCAAAGGTTTTCGCGTTTTTCTGGATGAGCACGGATAAAGAAGTTAGCCCAAGATTGTAAGTTTACGGTAGCCACATGGAATATAAGAACTTTAACTGATAAGACTATGGAATCGGTAGATGTCATGATTGGGAGGATCGTTAGTACAGCTTGCGTATAAGAAACTAAGTGGACGGGTGAGAAAACTTAGGAAATAGAAGATACCAGTTTTAAGCTATATTATAGTGGCAAGGATAGACACAGGAATGGAGTAGGAATAATAGTTTCCAAGGATCTTGTAGAAAATGTAGCTGAGGTCATTAGGAAAGGTGATAAGATTGTATTAGTTAAACTAGTTATTGGAGAGAGTACCGTGAACGTTATTAGTGCATAGGCCCTCCAAGTAGGATTAGATGATCAGACTAAGAAAGTTTTTTGGGACCAAATGGATGAGGTATTACAAGAGATACCCGTAGGAGATAACCTAGTTAGTTATAGGTGGTGATTTCAATAGCCACGTAGGAGTAAATAAACTAGGTTATGAGAGGGTGCATGGTAGGTATGGTTTTAGTGATAGAAATGAGGTTGGAGAGAATATTTTATTGCGTCGGCGTCTGACTACTAGTGGTGGCCAATACTATGTATAAGAAGAGAGAGGAGCATTTGATGACCTTCAAGAGTGGATCAATTAGAAGACAAATAAATTACTTTCTAGTAAGAAAAGAGGACTGCCTAAAATGTAGCGACTGTAAAGTGATTCCGAGAGAGAGCCTAACGTCTCAACAAAGGATTTTGGTACTAAACTTATGCTTTAAAGGCCAATACCAAGCTTAGAAAGATAGTGGGCATCACAGGACTAGATGGTGGGACATAAACGGGGATAAACTAGATACATTTAAGACTAGAATAGATAAAGAAGATACTTGGGACTTAGAAGATGATGCTAACACTATGTGGAACTCAATGGCCAATTGTATGAGGAGAATATCAAGAGAAGTTCTTGGAGAGTCGAAAGCAAAGGGACCCAACTTTAGAGAAACTTGGTAGTGGAGGGAGGAGGTCCAAGTAGTAATAAAGACGGAAAAAGAGAACTTTAAAAAGTAGCAGAATGATAGAACTGGGGAACATCTTAAACGCTATAGAGAGGCCAATAAAGAGGTAAAAAAAGTAGTGAGGAAGCCTAAGTTGAAAGCCTATGATGACCCATACACTAGACTAGATAGTAAGGAGAGAAAGAAGATGATATACAAACTTGTAACAAGAGATTTTAATCAGATTAAGTGCATCAAGGGTAAGGACTCTAAGGTGTTGGTGAAGGAT